CCTCTTCTTCCTCGTCTCCCTTCTCCCTCTCCCTCCTCCTTCCCCCCTCTCCGCTCCCCTTCCTATAGTTTTGCTATGTCACTCAAGTGACCTCAAACTAGAGATCATCTTGCCTTTACCTCCTAAATGCTGTGATTACAGGCATGTGCTACCACACTCGACTAATAATTTTTTGTTGGTGCTGGGGATTAAATGAAAGCCCTTGTTCTCATTAGGCTTGTGCTCTTATCACTGAGCTACATTTCCAGCCCAGTTTTTTTTTTTAGGCTTTTCTTGAAAACCTTCAGTAAGAAAGCATCTCCAAATAAAAAGTGAAAGTAAAATTCATATAAACATGGAAAGTACAGAAACATTGAGCCAGCTACTTGTAGCTCATGCCACCTACTCCGGAGGCCGAGATCCGGAGGACCACAGTGATGCCAAGCAGGGTAGTCTAAGAGACTTCATTTCCAAAGTAGCAAGCAAAAAGCAGGGGTGGATATAGGGCTTAAATGGTAGCATCCCTTAAACCATGAACAAGCAAAGCAAACGTGTAAGCTCAGTACCAGAGACAACAGTAACAGAAACAACAATTAAAAAAAAAGTGGACAACAGCATTCTGTGCTCTGCTTTGGGCTTGGCTGGATTTTTCCAAAGCCACCATCCCTGGCTCCCCTCCCTTCCCTGCTTGACAATGCCTCTCTCCCCAGACCCCCCCACTTCTGCCCCCAGGGCAGATCCCAAACCCGAGCCTAGAGGTCTCACTGAGATGAAAGGAACTTTCTGGGAGGAGCACATAAAACAAGGGCAGGAAAGTTTCTCTTCTGGCCTAATCACCTGCTCCCTAACCTTTAGGCCCAGGGAGCTACTCTCCTTTCCATCTGCCCCTCTGGCTGGATTACCACTTTTGTGGTCTCACAGATTAGGATTCAAATGCTGTTGCCTAGCAATTCTAATCTCTGTTTCTTCACCTCTGTGTGGGATAATCAAAAGGTGCTGAGTTGAAGGAAGCAGCTGTTTTGCCTAGGTTTGTGTTCTAAAGCTGCCAGCTGTGTGGATTTTGCCTCATCCTATTTCTTTTTTTTCTTTTTTTGGGGAGGTGGGGGTCGGTCATGGGGTTTGAACTCGGCTTGGGCGCTGTCCCTGCGCTCTTCAGCTCAAGGCATGCGCTCGACCGCATGAGCCACAGCGCCACTTCTGTTTTTTTTTTTTTTGGTGGTTTATTGGAGATAAGAGTCTCACGAATTTTTCTGCCCAGGCTGGCTTTGAACGGTGATCCTCAGATCTCAGCTTCCTGAGTAGTTAGGATTACAGGTGTGAGCCACTGGCGCCCGGTGCCTCATCCTATTTCTTTCTGTCAAAACTTCCAGAGTTTTCGGGTTCATTCAGATGAAGACAATCCAGAGAGAATCCAGCAGATTATTAAGAGAGCCATTGAAGATGCTGACTGGGTCATGAATAAAGTAAGTGCTTAGCTTGAGCCTCCTCCACCTGCCATTCTGGGAGCTGGTGCTGTAATTTCCATGACCACCAGGGGTCGCCTGGACCACACAGTTGAGAAGAGGCAGCAGGGAGGGGAATCACACCAGCTGCTCAAGTCCTCCAAAGCTGAAAAGGGATTTCTTCAGGTTGCATCAATTTTTGGGAAGGTCGAATGAAGGGGTTCCCTTAATCCTTCAAGCAGTGCTGAATGAGCTGAGGGCGCAGGAGGAGAGAGGGAGAACAACAGTAGTCTTCATCGCCATCACCCAAAGGGCAGTTATCTTGGGGGTGACTCCCTTTCTGGGGGTGTCCACACTGCAGCAAAGTTACTGAGGATGTGTCTGTCTAGTTGGAGGAAGGCAGTGAATTAGGAACGTAGTTAGTATTACAATGACCTCAAGATGTGGGATTCAGGATCCATGTTTGAAAACTAAGTGATTTGGCTGGGGGTATAGTTTACTATTACAGTGCTTGTCTAGAATGTATAGGACCCTCAGCTCTCTCCCCAGAGAGAGAGAGAGAGTCAAAGAAAGACACAGAGAGACACACTAGTTTAGCAGATGGCTGAGGGTTCTCTTTTGCCTGAAAATTTTTTCCCCAAGCAAGACTCAGCTTAAAGGGAAGAATGAGGGCTGGGAAGGTGGCTTAGTGGTAGAGCGCTTGCCTAGCATGCATGAAGCCCTGGGTTTAATTCCTCAGTACCACATAAACAACAACAAAAAAGACCAGAAGTGGCGCTGTGGCTCAAGTGGTAGAGTGCTAACCTTGAGCACAGAGAGGCCCAGACCCTGACTTCAAGCCCCAGTACTGGCAAAAAAAAAAAGAAGAATGAGTGAATACAATGTTCTAAGTCTACTGTCCTTAGTTTCCTTATTCTCCTCCTTCCATCCCCATCAGCTACTTTTTGTATTGAAGAGGATCTGGGCACGAACTGGAGATGGAGACTATCTAGTGCCTCCTGACTGGGCTCCCCACTGTGGCACCAGCACTGGAGATTTCTTTTTTTTTTTTTGGCGGGGGGGGGGTCTGGTCGTGGGGCCTGAACTCTGGGCCTGGGCGCTGTCCCTCAGCTCTTCAGCTCAAGGCGAGCGCTCTACCACTAGAGCCACAGCGCCACTTCCGGCTTTTTTCTTTTTGCTCATGTGGTGCTGGGGAATCGAACCCAGGGCCTCATGCATGCAAAGCAAGCATTCTACCACTGAGCCACCTTCCCAGCCCATGGAGATTTCTTAAGTCCTTTTTCCCACTGGCTTGACTTACCCACTTCTCTTTCTCTCTGTCTTACAGTACAAAAAACACAGTTGAGAACCCAGATCCCAAAGTGAAGCTGTCCTGGACATTTGAAATCGAGGAGCTGCTCTTTTTCTGGAACTAAGCAACACAGTTCTGGAATATTCTTTGGCCCTGTTGGCTTCAAGAACAAGAAATCAGAGGCAGGAGAAGTTGACCTTTCTCTGACAGCTCATTTTGCCCCGGCCATGTTTCCTGCATCCTTTATGTTTGCCCTTCCAGCTAGTAACAATGTGAAGTATGGGGAGAATGCAGTGTTTTTTTGTTTCTTCTCTGTGTTTTTCATTTTTGTCTTTTTGTTTTTCTACTTTGCCCTGAAGGTGTTTCACTTATTCTGGAGGTCCTTTTACCATACTCTGAGCCCCAGAGAAAATGTCCCCGTAGGTGGTCGCCTATACAGAGAAAAGAGAATGGGCCTTCGAACCAGGCAGATCTGGATTTGAAGCCCAGCCCTGAGGCTGCTCTAGGGTATCTCCTGTGAGCTCAGTTTACTCCATGGTGTGGATGAACAGGATGATGTTGAAATGCCTAACGTGGGGTATGGTACACAGGGTATGGCATCCTAACTTCGGCTCCCTGCCCCTGCCATATGGCAGATCTCTGCATAGCTCTGCTCTAGCGCCTGTCGTGAGGTCCCAGTGATTGGTTTGTGGTTTGTGAGCTTGTCCTGTCCCCGCTCGGAGCCTCAGAACCCTCACAGCTATGCCATGCCCAGTCTGCCAAGGATCTACACTTCTTGACCCCATCCCTCCATGCCAGGGAAATAGATGCCCTGGTCCTTGCCATCAAAGCATTGTCAGTGTCCGTGAATGTTCTGTAAAGTAGGAAGGAGGCCAGAGCAATCTCAGTAGATGTTGTCAGGTTCGGGCTCTGTGAATTGGCAGTCTGTCCTTCCTGGCCTTTCTGGCTTTGCTCCTGTCTTGGAAAGATGAAAGGCGGAAGAGGATGGCGGATCTGGGCTGGAGCTGGTTGAGCAGCCAGATGATTCAGGGCAGACACACTGGGACAGGAGCATCCCCAGGGGCAGCCAGCCAGAAGGATGTGCTTGCACGTTTGTGTCCTTGCAGTTCTGTAACTTAAAGTGCCATCTGTCTGTATAAACCTGAATAACAAGTAATGGAGTAAATGTATAATTTATGAAAGCATTTGTCTTCTTCTTCCTCCTCTTCTTCCTCCTCCTCTTCCACTACTTCCTCCTTCTCTTCCTCTTTTTTTTTTTTTTTTTGCCAGTCCTGGGGCTTGAACTTAGGATCTGAGCACTGTCCCTGAGCTTCTTTTGCTCAAGGCTAGCATTCTACCACTTGAGCCACAGAGCCACTTCCGGCATTTTCTGTTTCTGTTTTACTGAGAAATGGGTCCCAGGGCGTCATGCATGCGAGGCAAGCACTCTACCACTAAGCCACATTCCCAGCCCTCAGAGCCCTTTGAGAAAGGGACTGTGACATCTAAGGCTGAGTCCTGTCACCAGCATGTATTCCTTGACCAGAACCCACTGCCCCTGTGCTGGGCCTTCATTCCCTCCCAGCCTTTCTTCCAGGCACAGGAAACCACAGCCCAAGGGAAAGACAGATAATCAAGAGGTTGAGTAAATGTGGCTCAAAGGATATGGACTTCCATTCTTTCACAATTCTTTTTTTCTGATTATATTATCATTATTATTATTATTTTAAATTCTTTTCAGCCCTGGGGCTTGAACTGAGAGCCTGGGCATTGTCCCTAAGCAATTCTGCTCAAGTCCAGTGCTCTATCACTTTGAGCCACAACTTCATTTCCGGTTTTCTGGTGGTTAATTGGAAATAAGCATGAGCCACAGGTGCCTGGCTTTCTGAAGGTTTTAGTTCTTCCTGTTCCTGAATGAAAACTGGAACACACCCCACATTTTAATGACCAATCTTAGGTTAAACCCAAAGCTATGGTTGCTTTTAAGTCACAACTCAGTTTGAATTTGTGAAGTGAAATGTCCCAGTCTTGCTGGGCATTGGTGGCTCATGCCTATAAATCCTAGCTACTCAGGAAGCTGAGCTCTAAGGATCACAGTTCAAAGCCAGCCCGGGTCAGAAAGGCTGTGAGACTCTTATCTCTAATTAACTGCCAGGCAATCAGAAGTGGAGCTGTGGCTCAAAGCCATAGAATACTAATCTTGAGCAAAAGAGCTCAGGGACAGGCCCCAAGTTCAAGCACCACAGAAAAGAAAGAAGGAAAGAAAGGCCCAGTCTCAGATAAAAATACAATTTCAGAACCAAATTAGGGTTCCAGCTTCCTCTTCTTGCAGCTGGAAGGTGCCATCCAAGAAAGGGATGGTGGTCTTTGCCAGCTTAGGGGTGACAATAGGGCAAAGGGGCAATCTAGGCAGAGTGCTACATTCAGGGAAAAGCATCTCTTGTCTAGCCCACCCCCCCCCCACTCCGGGCTGAGCCCAACAAGGGTGGCTCGCACCTGTAATCCTAGCTACTTAGGAGGCTGAGATCTGAGGATTCAGGTTCAAAGACAGTCCAGACAGTAAAGTCTTAGGCCCAATTACCCACCAAAAAACTTAGAAGTGCAGCTATGGCTCAAATGGTAGAGGACTATCTTTGAGCAAAAAAGCTAAGGGACAATGCCCAGACACACACAAACAAAGCACAAATAATGATGGGGCAGGCAGGCTTGCCATGAGGGAGGAGCCTATTCACACCAGTGCTGTTGGTCCCTGTGATTATCTGAGACGCCCGCTGAACCCCCTGCTTTCCTGGTGGAGCACCATGTTTTGTAGAGACTATGTCTGACAAACTGGTCATGCAGACTTCATTACTTGACACACATCTTCTCAAAAATGAGATGAGCCAATCATGTCAAGGAAAACAACTGCCTGAACCATACAAGTGGTTTGCCACTCACCCAAGTTGATCTTTCTACCACAGGCCAATGGGTGTGAATGAACAGACTACAAAGCGTTTCCATTTCCATGATGCAACTAACTTGTAAGAAACGGTCATTTACCAAGTTTTGGTACAGCACCCTGAAGAATATATGACATTTAAGAGGTTGAGGCAAAAGCATTATGAATTTGAAGCCAGGCTGCATAGCAAGACTATGAAAGAAAAAAAAAGACAACTTGAAAAAGTTATTTGAAAAAATTCCAGCATTTCCTACATATAGATCTGTGAGGCCAGATTTTCTTCACATTCTTCAACACAGGCATCATTTTGCTCCAGGCTAAATGAAGCATGTGTCTCGTGGAGGTTTACAAAAACCCAAAGGAATGCTGCCCTGCTCCCTAAATTTTTGGAAAGTAGTTATTTCTCATAAAGCATGTTGCTATGCAATAGATTTTGCTTGATTTTAAAATGAGCTAATAAAAATATAAAGTTCTGCCAGGTACTGGTGGCTCTGTAATCCTAGCTACTCAAACAACTGAGATCTGGGGATCTTGGTTTGAAGCCAGCCTGGGAAAGAAAGTCCATGAGACCCTTATCTCTAAATAAGTGCCCCCCCCAAAAAAAAGCTGGAGGTGGAGTTGCGGCTCAAGTGGTAGAGTACTAGCTTTGAGCAGAAAAGCTCAGGGACAGCACCCTGGCCCTGAGCTCAAGCCCAGGACCAGCACAAAAGTAAACCAGTAAGTAAACAAATAAATGAAATTCTTAGTTTTAAATTTTATATAAACAAAAAACAGTGGTAGAGCACTTATAAGTACAAGGTCCTAAGTTCAATCCCCAGTATTGAAAAAAAAGAAAAAAGAAAACACCTCTCTAGGATCCTCAATAATGATTAATAATACAAAGGAACCTGAGGCTATAAAGTTTGAAAACTGGTCTTCTACAGTATAGTTTAGGCAGGTCTCTGTTGCAGGTCAAACTTATCTGACCCTAAATTCAGAGCCTTATTTTGGATTCCAACTGTATTTTGTTCTATTGACATTAGACTATAAGGCTGGTACTTTGTAATGGAGTCTGTCATCTAGTAAGTTAATATTCAACAGCTTCATTTCCTCTGTTATTGTGCATTCATTCATATATTTATTAATTAATCTAACCCACACTGAGTACCTTATATGGGCTGTGAATTTCATCTGTATCTTTATCCACATGGGGTCATATGTTTCAATCTGCTTTCCATATTGATCTGTATGGTTCCTAGATATGAATCAGAAGATTCCATTTTAGGGAGGTATGTTTGCTCCCCACCCCACAACCCGGGATCTAGAAATCTGTCTTTTAAAAAAATTCTTGCGCTGGGCGCCAGTGGCTCACGCCTGTAATCCTAGCTACTCAGGAGGCTGAGACCTGAGAGTCAAGGTTTGGAGCCAACCCAGGCATGAAAAACTTCTTATCTCCAACAAACTACTCAGAAATGGTGCAATGACTCAAGTGGTGGAGTGCTAGCCTTGGGCAAAAGAAACTCAAGGACAGTACCTGGACCAACACACACACACACACACACACACACACACCTAGCTAGGTGCCAGTAGATCATACCTATAACACACACACACACACACACACACACACACACACACACACTCCTAGCTAGGTGCCAGTAGATCATACCTATAATCCTAGCTATCCAGAAGGCTGAAATCTGATGATCCCAATTCAAAGCAACTGGAACAGAAAAGTCCATGAGATTCTTTTTTTTGGGGGGGGTGGTTCAGTCATGGGGCTTGAACTCTGGGCCTGGGCATTGTCCCTCAGCTTTTCAGCTCAAGGCAAGTGCTCTACCACTTGAGCCACAGCGCCACTTCCAGTTTTCTGGTGATTAATTGGAGCGAAGAGTCTCGTGGACTTAACTGCCTGGGCTGGCTTTGAACCTCAATCCTCAGATCTCAGCCTCCTGAGTAGGATTATAGGTGTGAGCCACCGGTGCCTGGCCCATGAGATTTTTGTTTGTTTGTTTGTTGTTGTTTTTTTTGGGTCCAGTCGTGGGGCCTGAACTCTGGGCCTGGACGCTGTCCCTCAGCTCTTCAACTCAAGGCTAGCACTCTACCACGTGAGCCACAGTGCCACTTCCAGCTTTTTTCTTTTTGCTTATGTGGTGCTGAGGAGTCGAACTCAGGGCCTCATGCATGCAAGGCAAGCGCTCTACCACTGAGCCACCTTCCCAGCCCCCCATGAGATTCCTATATCTAGTTTACCAGCAAAAAGCCAGGAATAGAGGAATAGCTCAAGTGGTAGAGTACCAGCCTTGAGTGGAAAAGCTAAGCAAGAATGTGAGGTCCTGAGTTCTGGCCCTAGCACACGCACGTGTACACACGACCCGCCCCCCCCCCCACATTCCTAAAAGCTGTTTCTTATTTACAGACATTAGTATACAAACATACATGCACTTTATAACCACTCTGGTTGAGAAACAGCAAATCATTTTGAAAACCTATTCTTCTGGCTTTGTTACCTTTCTATTTCTATACATTTCTAAAACCCTCCAGTTGCAGAGGTAGCAGGAATTATGCAAGGGGCGTTTGGCAAGCCAACCTCAGCCTTCAGCCTATAGGTCTGCAGGTGTGTGAGCCTGCAGGCTCACTGTGGCCTATGCCCCCAGTTCTTCCTTTGTATAATTACTATGTTAGAAACCAATCTGGATCAGAACCTCCATTTAAAGGGATCTGGTATTGCCGGGAAGGTAGCTCAGTGGTAGAGTGCTTGCTTTGCATGAATGAGGACCTGGGTTTGATTCCTCAGCACCACATAAACAGAAAAAGCTGGAAGTGGTGCTGCAGCTCAAGTTGTAGAGCGCTAGCCTTGAGCTGAAGAGCTCAGGGGCAATGCCCCGGCCCAGAGTTCAGGCCCTACAACTGACAAAAAAAAAAAAAGAAAGGTGGGGAGGGGGGATTTGGTATAGCACAGAGAAAACAGAAAAGAATCTAAGCCTTCATGAGAGTATCCCCATACTTTGGGAGTCTCATACCCTTCGGTCATCTCAAATCTTAGTCAATCTCTTGGCCTCTCTCCCCAGCTTAGCAAATCCACTGTACCTCCTGGGTTCTGTCTATAACCCCAGAGGCTATCCCTTCCCTTCTGCATGGAGACACAGCCAAGAGAGGGTCTCTCCTTTGTCTGAAGTTGCATCTCAGGAACACGGATGTCACAGGTGCGCTATTTTGAGACGCTAAAGACTGACACCACAACCCATTTCCCTTTAGCT